TGGAGCCACAAGATGCCCATTAGCAGAGAGCATGTCCAGCGGCACGTGTTTGACGGCAAGGCCCCCTGTTAGTCCCGGGGACCAGGGCTTCTCGGAGGACAGTCGGGTCTTGGCTGGTGCATGGTTTTGCTGCTTCTGCCCTAGAAGGGTTCGCCTGCCGTTTCTAAAAGTGCCTGAAAGTCATCCTTGGCCTTTCGTTCCCTCTCCCTCCCTTCCCCGGGTCCTCTGGCAGCTCTGACATCTGTCATCCAGCTCATTTCTTTTCTCTTGTCGTAGGTGCTAATGTGTGGGAAAGTGTTCATGGGTCCACTGTGCGATGGAAAAAATAATGATGTGGAGAATGTTTTCATAAAGCTTTACTTACTCCTTATAAGGAACCGTCTTTCACCCTGAAGTTAGGTCCAGTCTCCCTGTAGCCTGGTTAAATGGCCTTTGTTTATGAAATGATGCAGGTAACAGGTGAGGGGTTTTTATTTAAAGATGCTCTGCTGGTCCCTGAGTTCACTTTCTGTGCTGGTTTGTAAAATTGGCAGGTCTGGAAAGCACTCCCAGCTTTAATGCTGCCATCACACTAGCCTGATGGAAGCCTTGCTTCTCTTTAAAACCTTCGTCACGGTCCCCAGTGATGTCATCTGCACAGGGCCTCCCTCCACCATGTCACGGACCTCCATGGACCTTTTGCTTCAGCCAGGCTCTTCTGGTCCCTGACCTCACAGCCCATCCATCCTCATGCCTCCCCACCCCTTCCGTTGCTGTTTTCCAGGCAGGAAAATGTCCCATGCCTGCCTTACCCGCTTTTCTAAATCCGTTTTTATTTCAAGGCCCAGTTCAGGTCCCCACCCCAGCACAGCATCACCATCACACCATCACTCTGCACTCCGGGGGCTCTGGACCATCCCGCCAACACACACAGCACTGGTTTTAAGGATGGTTAATAATGGATGACCTTCCTTCCCAACCAGACTTCTTATGCTCTTTGTATCCACAATACGCTCTTATTCAGAAACTGGTAGGTGACTGTCAGGTAGCCACTCAGAGGCTCCCCCCACCCCAGCCCCACCGTAGCAGCTGTCCTGTACAAGCCACTCAGCCCCATTAGTGCCTTAACTTAGATGCAGACACTCGTTTGCAGGCACAAATGCAGGACTTTCCAGGACTCCATGTGAAGCTGGACCACTAAGATGCCAGCTGAACCCTCTGTCATTCTAACCGCGCTGCCTGCAAAGGCTACTTGTATTTTTATTTCCCGAAGAACCAAGGGCTAATAGGTCAGCGTCTGAACGCTTCGCGTCCCGTGCTCTGTGGCAGTGTGCTCAGCATCCCGTGATAGGAAATGCCTGCCCGGCAGGACAGGGACCGTGTGGTAAGAAATGAAAGAGCAGAGGCAAAGGTGGGAGAAACGCTTTCTGCAGGAGAAAGGTGACAGTCCTGTTTTAGATTGACGAGCTAGAAAACATAAGCCAGCAAAGGGGTTGAGAAAGGGCAGGTGAGTGACAGCAGCAGGGATGAATCAGCAGAGCCCTGGCAGGTGGCATCATCTGTATAAAGCTGTCGTTCTCCACTTCAAGTCAAACACTGTGACTTACAGAAGGGCTAGTGGACCTGGGTCCAGGGCATGAAAGTTCCCGTTACGGCCCCGTCGTGAGACGCAAAGAGCCTGCACAAATCACCTAACCACACCGTATTTTCATTTTTTCCATCCGTAAAATGGGAACCGGGGCGAGGGATAACGCAGCACCGAACTGCCTTTCCTACCGGAGCATTCAAAAGGATGTTAAAGTCTTGTTTATTTTTTCCTATGGCTTCCTTTTTCCTTCCTGTTTTATTAACCTGGAATTGACATAGAGCCTTGTGTAAGTTTAAGGTGGACAACATACTAATTTGACTTACATGCATCTTGAAATGGTGCTCACAGTAAGTTTGGTGACCATCCATCATCTAAGTATAGATACAGCATTTTAAAAAATAGCAAATAGATTATTTTTCCCTTGTGATGAGAACTCTTAGGATTTCCTCCCCTGGCGACTTTCCTGTTTAACACGCAACAGTGTTAATTCTGTGTGTCCTGTTGTACATTGCAGCCCTAGGGCTCGTTTATCCTAGGGTGTTAACTTCTTGAAAACACAACGACTTAATCTTCATCTCATCCTACGAGAAACGTAAAGCGATACAAGAATGATGTCCAGGTTAAGACTGCCCGTTAGGCTGGTTTGGTCGGTAATTCTGTAAGTCGGCTTTGCTGTATAAATAAACCTCTGCTTGCTTGTTTCATCAAGAGTAATAATTTCTTCAGAAAAGCAGTGACAGCAATAAACCATGTTGGGTTTCTTTCGCTGATGCCCTAACCTGCCGGGGGCACTTGGGTTGCTGGGGAGGGAGGGAGTCTGCCCTTTTATTTCCACTCGTTATAAAAGGGTCCAAACAGTGATTACACGACCGGCGCGTTTGCTTTCTCTCCGTTTCTCCGTGGCCGCCTCCGGCTCCGGAGCGCCCGCTCCTGCCGCTGGCTGAGCAGCAGGGCGGACTGTCAGATCAGGTCGTCAGCCCCGCCACCTGACGGATGCTGTCCCCGCGGAATTAATGGGGCCCCAGCAGACGCCCGTCTCTGCCCTTCCTCCTTTCCACACCCCTGTCTCCGCGTGATGTTGTCCTTAGTGAATCTTCTCTGCCTCGACTGCCTCGAGCTCCTAACTCCTAACCACAGGTTTCAAAAACACCACAGCTGATTTTTACACTCTAGAAGCCCTCTCTCCTTTTATCCCAACGTATCATTTGAGTCCTTTTTCCTACCCGTTATTCCTCTGTTGCCCCATGTTTACACCTGTTAATATGACCCTCTTCACTTTTTCCCCTCCCCTGATAACTTGTGTCTTTCACTGTTAAGAGTCTTTCTCTCCTGTTTCTGCATCTGGGTTGATTTTAAGTAGGACGGGGTTCAGCTCTCCCGTTTCGCTTAGACCTTTATTAATGAAGCAGCCTGAGTATTGATGTGAAATCCAATCTTAAGTATATTTTTGTCCCCAGGAAATCCCTGGGTTTTCATCCACAGTTTGCTTTTTCCCCCCTTTCTTCACACATTGTCATTTTTGAAATTTTCTCTGGTGCTGCCACAAATAGAAAAGTCACCAGAAAAACCGATTTCCTAGTAAAATGTTGTGTCTCTAATGCATATTTATGATTGGAGGATAGCTTTTTAAGATATATCCTAACGTTTAAACGGTAAGTTTCTCTCTTATTTATATGCGGGAAAGAGCAAGTATATAGTGAAAAAGCAAATAGTCATTAAATGTCAGGAAATAGTACATCTCATTTCAGTAAACAGAATAAATTGTCATTCAACATATCAGCCCGTTCCTACAATGTCAGTATAGACAAGAGAGATTATCACCACCCCCGCCAGCATTTAAGTCCCAATTTACCGTCATAAAGTCTGTCAATCACTGAGAAATAAAGTCTTTGAAAGGCTTTATTATATCAATTTGCTGAAGATGTCTCAGGATCCTAAAGGAATATTTCACATACGCAAATCCATACATGTATGTATACATACTGTTTTACAAAGTTGTATTTTTTTTCACATTGCGCTGCCATAGAGGGCATAAGTAAGCAAACCCATAAAACCTGATAGAACAGCGAATTAGCTCTCCTTTGTAGAAAATATGGAGGAACACTAAGAAATTTAATACCAGCAAACATGTTCCCTTTGAAACAGCAAATTAGATGTGCAGGAGGATTTTGGTCACACTTCAAAGAATAATGTGCTGAGGTGGAGAGCTGTTCTGTTTACTCTTGCTCTCACCAGTGAGACTTTTCTATGTTAAAGAGGCTTTTGATTACTTCAAAGCATGTTTGAAGTCCTCACTCTGTGCAGCTCATGCACAAAGACAAATAATCTTCCAAGTGTGCACGGCTAATGTGGCTGCACACTTTTTTGTAAGGAAGAGGGACCTGCAGTTTCCGCTTTAACGTCGAGTGGATGCCTCTTTTATTCAGCTATGACAGTGAGGGTCGCCTGACCAACGTGACATTTCCAACCGGAGTGGTCACAAACCTTCATGGAGACATGGACAGGGCCATCACGGTGGACATTGAGTCATCCAGCCGAGAAGAAGATGTCAGCATCACTTCAAATCTGTCCTCCATCGACTCATTCTACACCATGGTTCAAGGTAAACATGATGCATAACTTTCAACTGATTGCTCTAAAATACCGCTAGCACCCAAATAGAATGTGGCAACCCTCATTTTTTTTTTAATTTTATTGAACTATCGTTGATCTCCAATGTTAGTTTCAGGTGTACAGCAAAGCGATTCAGTTATACACATACATACATATGAATTTTTTTTCAGATTCTTTTCCATTATATGTTATTACAAGAAGTGTGAAGTTCCCTGTGCTGTACAGGAGGTCCTTCTTTATCTGTCTTATATACAGAAATGTGTATCTATTAATCCTGAAATAGGAGTTTGGGATTAACCCCCACTTTCTAAGATGACTCAGGAAAAGGAAGGTGAAAATATAAACCTCAAGAGATACTGATGAAATAGTCTAGTGTATACATATAATGTTCATTTAGTAATATGTACATTTTATATATATATATATCATATATATGTATATATGTGTTATACATATTTATATGTATTTATAAATAAGTATATATTACTAAATATCTAATATCTAAAAATACATAATATCTAAAACAATCTGGTACCCTAGAAAGTGTCTTTTTTATCCATTTAATAAAACTAGTGAATCCCCACTCTTCACATGCACCTTGAGATGCACTAGTGCGTCTTCCACAGTTTTCCAGAGTGTGTCATCGTCACTGCCAGGAGGACTGAAGGGTGAGGCTGAGCCCTTTTTGAATCTGTGTGTGATACAGTATTTGAATCCACATCTGATGCCATCACTGGAAATTTTATACCAAATTCCACATACCCATTTATGTAATATCTGGACTTTCCATTTTTGCATCCAGTCTTAGGCATATGTGTCCAATACCTCCATGGTGGAGCCTCTGCCATATTCCTTTTTGATGTAATCTTGAAAAAGCCTGTTGACAGTGCCAGTGGCCCTTGTGAGGTCCAGCTCTAAGACTAACTGCTAAATCTGAGTTAAACTTTTTTCACTCTCTTTTTTTGTTGTTTTACCAATTCTGTCAGGTAATCTCTATGGTTGTTTAAAAATGAGTATTGCTTGAATTCATTTCTTCCCCAAATGACCCCTATAGTATTGAAAAATTTTTAATTGAGGCAACAGCCTACATTATGAGGGGGTGTTTTGTACAGGATAGGACCCCCCCCCTTTTAAAGACAGTTTCAGAGGGAAATGTCCCCTTAGATTTTGGTACACAAGGTGTAGATATTAAATCTTTCCAGAAGATCTTTAACAAAGTATCTCGGGAAGGGATATCCTTCTCCTCCTAAAAGAACACATCCTTGGTTCCTTGCAAAACATTTACTGCACGTTCCCTGGAGTCTGAACCTTCATTTACTTCATCAAGCAAATGAGAAAAGGAAATCTATTAAAGTGGAGAAGGACTTTAAATTCCCCTAAAGTTTGCCTTTAGTATTCAGCCAAACCCATTACAGCATGAGATGCCAGAAACCCAAGTTGTTATTTTCTAAAAGGACATCCGTGAATACTTTGTTTCCTTATAAATGGAGTTCAGTCCGTGTCTTAGAAACGTGTACCACCCCAGCTGAACAGGGTTCACGCCACGTCTCCAGAACTCACGTGTTCTGCCCCTTATTTTCCAGATCAGTTAAGAAACAGCTACCAGATCGGTTATGACGGCTCCCTTCGCATCATCTCTGCCAGCGGCCTGGACTCCCACTACCAGACGGAGCCCCACGTGCTGGCCGGCACGGCTAACCCGACAGTTGCCAAACGAAACATGACTCTTCCTGGTGAAAACGGTCAGAATTTGGTGGAATGGAGATTCCGCAAAGAGCAAGCCCAAGGAAAAGTCAACGTGTTCGGTCGAAAGCTCAGGGTAAGTCCGCGGCAGCGGGAGGTGGCGACCCCCCAGCCCGCCTCGTCGGGCGACGGCCGGTGGGTGCGGGCGGGCCTGGGACACGTCTCCCGCCCCTGCTCCTCTGTCGCGAGCCACCCTCATACCTTAGAGCTTGAGTTACAGCCAACCAGCCGGACGTCAGGTCATTCATAGGAAAAGCCAACTATTTGAGAAAGGGGTTTTCTCGATGGAGCTTTGGTTGAAAATCACTTCTGCCCTGAGCGGTTAGGACACTGTGCGTAGCACAGCGCCAGAGAGCCTGGGTGGCAAGTGATTCTTGTTTTACTGATACTGCTTAATAACCGTGTGCTTTTCCTTCACCCACGCAGTTAGGAGTGTTGCCTCCCTAGATGGGGAGGGGGGTGCGAAGAATTGGCACAATACTAAAATTATTCCAGATCATAAGCATGTGTATTGAAAGAGATGGGCTGCCCATTGAAAAGTGGATTCTTCCTCTGCAGCCTCAATATTTTGAAAGTACCGTGTGGGCACACAGAAAAGAGTTCCGGTGTCAGAACCCCCTGCCGCCTCCTTGCTATTGATGGAAAACCCAAACTGATCTTATTTTTATGAGAAGTGTGATGACACTGCTGATTACGTGAGCGTGATTGATCTTTGCCAAATGTCCTCTGTGTTGCCTCTGTGTTGTCTGTTTTCATTCCTCCGCCTCACACGGTGGGCCAGACATAGCTAGAAAGCAAGCTGTGATTTACAGCAGCTGTTTGGTAAACGCAACCTAGATTAAGTACTAAAACACACGTCGCAGGGAACCACTGTCAGACCACTCTAAGCTGAACCCGACTCATTCTTTCTCTTAGTAAACAGATTTTTGTTTCTCAGACAAATGCAGGTAACTGTTCCTAAAATTTCTTCCCTTGCCATTAAAAACAAAATTTAAACTCAAGGAGAGAGAGGAAAAACATGGAGCACATGATTCATGTCCTTTTCTCAACTCCGAAAATGGTTAAATTTTTATTAGAACAGGCCAACATTATTTACCAGGACAATCCTTCATGGCAAGAGTCAGCTGCGACACACTGGCCCTGGCTAGTTCCAAGAAATAGAAATGAAGTAACGAAGAATCAGTGGATCAAATACAGACTCTCCAACTAACAGCGTGTATTCTAATTCCGCTTCAGTTGCAAGGCAGGGGTTTGGGACCCTAAATACATGGCCTCTGGAACAAGTGCTGTCTGCTCGCACCTCACCCATCCATCTCCCAGACTGCAGGAGCCAGGATGCCCCAGCTCCCGGGCCCTGGATCACGAGCTGGGGAGGCTGGGGGGAGGTTATTCCGTGAGAGGAGTGAGAAGAAAAAGCAACAGAATATCAGAAAGAAGAAGATTAGGGTGGAAGGTACAGTGATCGGCAGCAACACAAGCGCCAGGCTCATCTGGGGGTCACGTTCAGAGGGTCTTGGTCTGTGGCCAAAGTTAACTCCAGCTCCAGCCGTTTCTTCTGCTGAACAGAGGAATGGAGCTGCCGGCGTGCCCGTCTGCCGCCGCCACTGACCGCTGCCCCCGGGCCCGGCTTCCTTGGGCCACTGCAGACTGGAGGCTAGGTCACGGGCTTTGTCTTACTCCATGATCCCTAAAGCCAGATGCTACGCCTGAACGGGGACACACACACACATACACACACAGTCACACCTGTACTCAGACAGAGGGCTTAACTTCATCAAAAGACACAAAGGTCCTGCTCACGTTACTTGGCACAACCAAGAACACAACCCCTGAACTAAAACTAAAAATAGGGGTTCTAGACCAGGCTCCACTTTTTGCCAGTAATAAACCTTACGGGAAAATCATAACATCGGTAAAGCTGATTTTCCTTATCTGTGTGATGGTATCCATGTTATGATACAAAGAATGTAATATTATCTAGAGAATATCATAACATTCTGACACAGACATGATACATATTAGCTATCTTATGGATAAACAGATTTTGCCCTGCTCTGCCTGTGTTTCACACAATTATTACAGGATCAGATGAGACCGTGTGAAAGTCCTTTGAGAACAGGAGCGATTACATGCTCCGTAGCCCTAACCTAGAGAATTCTCAGCCACCGACACAAACAGTGGGCACTGAAACCCACACAGCAGACAGACAGGAAGACGTAGGTGCGAAAGAGGAAAGGTTACAGGAAATGCTTTGCCCAGAAACTGACCATGTGACACGTGGCCCACCGTTCTTTGAGACCAGCTAGTCTAAGTGTATCCTTTTTTCCTTTTTAACACTGTTTTTCTAGACATTAAAAAAAAAAATTAGGAAGAGTAGAGGAAAAGAGGGAAAATCCAGTTTTGAGTCTCTAGCTCTCGGCCTGATTCTAAACGAAGATCTGGCTTTGGGGAGAAAGGGACCAGCGCACGCAGGCAGGGGGTGTTAGCTTCTTTCTAAATGGCAGAGCCACAGTGCCTCCGCCAACCATTTCGGAAAATACACTATTTAAAACGGCCTGTTCCGTCACACTGAAAGGAGATTTCCAGCCGATATGTGCGATTGCTTGCATGGAGACAGTGCCAGGATCACAAGGGAGGGTTTCTTCCTTTCAAGATAAGATTGGATGTGCCAGCCCTGACTGCTAATTTCCCTCCTCTGTGGCTTCTAAGAGAGGAATTCCGGGGAGAGAGTGATGCTGTGAAAATCTGGTTTGAGGACCGGACCTGGACTCTGCCAAGTTAGGGACCAGAGGACGAAAAAGGTGGAGGACCTGAAGGCCCTGGGGCCTCTGAATCAGGAATGGGAATCAGAATCAGCCCGAAAAGCCACCCATTGTGACTCCACCCTTTCCTGAAACAGAGGATGTCTCGTCTTTTGCTTTTTATTATCTCCGAGCAGAATGTTCTTTTCATTTTTAAATTACTGGCCGTAATCTAGCTGTGGGCCTCACGCAGGGTGAACACTCAGATATTCATTCAACACGTGAAAGAACGAGGAAGAGCCAGGCTTAGACATGGGTTATTTCATCGCCTCTGGATCTTCCTAAGAGAGGAGCTGTGTGAACAGTGCACCCCTGCAAATGTTTGACTGCAGTAAGCAAGCTTAACGCCTGATCAAACAGAACGCATAGATAGAACAGATACAACACTAGATAGAGTGGCTTAAAGGTGAAAAAAAGAAAAAAGGCAAGTAGTAGGAAGGGAAAAATTATATAAGAAACAAGCAACATGACAAGCATTTTCTGGGGAACAGTGCATTAAGAGGAGGGGATGGGTACCTAGAAATAACCGGCAGAGGAAATCATGGTAGAGATGTGGGGAAACAGAATGAAGATGAGACAGTTGCTTAACTTACTTGTTTGTAAGCTACATTTTAAAAAAAAAAAGACACACATGTACTCATTGCTTGTCTTCGTTTTATAACACAAAATGTTATACTATTTGGTAAATATTCCTAATTGTTGTCAGCCCTGGACTTTGGAACCAGCCTTCGATCAGTTCCAAAACATGGTTACGGCATTCTAATAGTAAAATTCATCTTCTCAACTTGTCCAGAATTCTGGTGCTGCATAGAAAACATTTAGGGGATTATTTGAAAAAGAAATTCTCAAAGCTTGAAAGCGAAAAGTGTGTTGAAGCGGGTACATAAATACGACAGCGTCTTTCAACTCTCATGATGCCAGTCACAGGTGTCCTTCGGTCTGGCAGCAGCACCTAGATGGGGATGGTCCAGCGCAGTTAGCACTTGCTGATGGGTAAAGAGACACAAAACACTCTGGACAGTTGATGTTCCAACAGGGACGCCAGGGAGCTGAGGTACTGTTGCCAGTGGACCAGGTCATGAGTCAGCACTTCCTTATCCCTTCCCCTCAACATGCCGGATACACGAACATAACCCCATCGCGCTTTATGTCCTCAAACATAAAGACCTTGTTCAATATCTTAACGCCTCAGTTTTTCAAGCATTGCAGAGGGAAAATCACTACTCCCCTCCCGAAGTCAAAGGGATGTTGTGATTCATTGCAGTCATGCTGGACATGATCTTTGAAAATGGGGATTTTTCACGCTTACTTAAAAGAAACGCTGTACATCACAGAGGAATTCGTGGTGCTGTCTCACCCAGACCCAACATTTGGATTCATTTTTATATAGCTAGAGGTATAGTAATGATCTGATAGAAGGGTTTTCATCTTAGGTGGGCCTCTCAATTTAACTTGATATTTTTTATATTAAAAATATGTATTAAAAGGCCCCCAAGGCATGGAAAAATGCTGGTCCTTTATGATTATCCAAAAAAAAAAAAGGTTGCAAAGTCGCCATGATTTCCTACAGGTGTAATGGAACAGGACTATGTCCCAGGTGGAAACGTCCCTTGACTTCCACACCTTGTCTGCAACACCGAAAGGAGAACATTTGGGCGTGTTTAGATGGGACAGAAAAAAACAAAGATCTCTTAGTATCTTCTGAGATGTTACATATTGGGCAACAGTGGTTGGTGCTTGGAAACAGTAAGGATGGTTAAAATCCTGGCTTGTGCTGAGAATGTGGAGAAAAACCCCAGCCACATTCTGATCCTTTCCTCACTTCTTCAGCTAGAGGACACAAGAAAGGCACTGCGTACAACATTTGTCTGGATTAGAAGAAAAAATTCAACTGGTGTCCAGATGTTTGGGCTCGCATTGCTTCTGGCGGTTTCTGTATGGTGACATGTTTGGTGTGGGCTCACACAGTGACAGTGGCTGACATTCACCTGGATGCCTTGGTGTAGTTTAGTCATGGTCCCAAACCAGAAGCCCAGTAGTGGGGTGCAGGCAGCACAGAGATGGGGTTCCACACCTGCCTTTTTGCCATTCTCCTGTTAGCAACCAAGCAGTCATGCCAGGGCTGCAGCCCAGATTTCGTCTGCTCCACCCAGAAGAAATACTGCAAAGATAAAGGAGGATTAAGGATGGCAATAAAAAAATTGAGATACAAATTAAAATGAATACAAGTAAAACACAAAACAGATGGGGCAAGGCTGGGGGCACACGGTGCATGGCAACTACACAGTAGGTCCTGCTTGGCTATTTGCAGCCTGGAATAACCCGAGGAAGGAAAAGGAGGGGACAAACCTAAACATCTTGGAGATTGTTTTTTTTTTTCTCTTTCAAATCACAGTGTGAGAACCACAAGAGCCCTAGGAAGCCATTAAAACTGTAAAGCCTCTTCTTAAGGAGTCACAAATGTTGTACAAATAGAAGCTGAAGAGCTGGATTTGAGCTAATGTGATAGCAAATCAAATCTTTCTACTGACTTTGAAATACGTATACTCGTAACACTAGCCAGTAGCTTCTTTCCAAGGTACACAAAGCATTCTACAAACCTAAACTCGCCAGGTCTCACGAAGGCCACAGGAGGCAGAGGCCAACCAATCTGCAGACATTTCCACTTGGGGAAAATGGGAGCCGGGAAGCCTTCCGCGGGCTGGTCAGAATCGTATAAAGTCAGTGACAGGCAGAGCCTGAAGGCTCCGGTCCGACCTCTTTCTTTACAGATGGACAAAGCAGAGACTCTGAGGGTTGAGAGCCCAGAGTTACGGCTCTCGCCCTGTCAGGGACGGAGGTGGGGTGTCCTGACTCCTGGGTTCCTCCTCCGAGCGCACACACCCCTGCGCCAGCCCCTACCAGTTGCTCCAGGGTACCAGTGGCTTTTCTTTCTCCCACATCAGCTGGATCTGAAATGACGGAACGGAAAATTTCAGGTCTCCTGACTCCCATCCAGGGCTCCACTTTCTCATTCACTGTGAATCACCTCTCTGGGTGCTTTTCCCCCCAGTCATTTTGCCAAACAGGCATGAACTTCTTTCTAGCTGCTGTGTTTACCCTTCCATGGACTTCACAGTGCTCCCCTTGAAGAGCTAAATAAAGTTTAAGGAGTATTTTTTCATGGGACGTGTTTAATGGCCATGATTGAAGGCACAAATTTTATCCCAGAGTTTACATAAACATACGTGTATATCATATATATATATATATATAAACATATATATTTATGTATATAGTGGGGTGTGTTATAAGAGATGAGTGGGAGCTATTGTGAAGGTTTGAGCTAGGACATGGTCATGTAAAATTAAGATTTTCCCCCCTTGACTTTTAACGGTCTAAACAGTGGGTGAGCATTCCTGTGTGTACAAGCCACCATCACCACAAAACTGCACCAGAAAATCAAAGAGCGGACTGGCCCTGATCTCACTCTTAGAGGGTCCCCAGTCTACAAACACCATAGACTGTAAAGTAGAATTTAACTAAGGCCACATTTCCACTGCCATAATGATGCTGGTGGGTGTGTGTCTTGGGTTACACAGTAACAGCCAGATACAGTCAGAGATTCTGGATGTGACACAGAGCCACACGGAGACCCTGTTACAACAACGTGGTGCTAGATTTGTAAAGTCAGCACAGTGGTCAGACTGTGTAGATGTGGGAGTGGAGGATCTGAAGCCCTTGCCAGTTTGCCAGATGTTATCAAAGAAAAAGGCAGGCCAAAAAATTGTGACATTTCAGCACTGGGCCAGAAGCAATGATCGTGTTTGTAACCTCCTGCTATTTAAACTAATTAATAATTTACAGTAATGTGGGTTCCAGCTTCTACTTAACTGCTCTTCAAAGGGCTAGAATCACATCCACCACCGTTTTATTTAATGTAGCCATGATTAATCTAGTAAGCAATTATTTCCCAATGTCTTATGGGGTGGGGGATGGGGGGGCGGTCGGATCTTAGAGTAATTTGCAGAGCTGTCGTGTTTACCACCTTCGTATCTTCTGAGCAAACTTTAAAGCATTTTGGTATTTTTCTTATCAGTTGCTTAAGTTTACAAAATTTAATTGAAAAGGTTTTGAACAAATGCCAGGCTGTCTGTCTGCTTAATGAAACCTTTTAAAAGAGCAGTTAATCTGCTGCCTTGCACTTGTGCCCAAGAAGTTGCTAAATTAATTTACTGACAAAGAGAATCAATCATCAGAAATGGTGTTTAAACAATAGTGGGGACCCCGAAGAGTAATAAGGGGCTGCTCTTGGAACAGCGTGATTTATTTTATCATCTTGTTTGTGTTGTAACAGGTTAACGGCAGAAACCTCCTCTCGGTTGACTTTGATCGAACCACCAAGACAGAAAAGATCTATGATGACCACCGTAAATTCCTCCTGCGGATCGCCTACGACACGTCAGGGCACCCGACGCTCTGGCTGCCCAGCAGCAAGCTGATGGCCGTCAACGTCACCTACTCGTCCACGGGGCAGATTGCCAGCATCCAGCGAGGAACCACGAGCGAGAAAGTGGATTATGACGGACAGGGCAGAATCGTCTCCCGGGTTTTCGCTGACGGTAAAACGTGGAGTTACACGTACTTAGAGAAGGTATGCCTGTGCAGGGACGGTAAACACGGGGGTGGGGGGGCAGTGATGGCTGCTTTCCAGCAGTGACCCAGGAGCACGGGGGTGGGGGGCGGCGGTGGCACGTGACTGAGCTCCGGTTACTATCCTGAGTCCCCGTGTGTGAGTCGCACTGGTACAGCAGTGACGAGCTTCTGCCTTAGCCAGCGTGTGCCTCCTGAGTTCAGTCCTGCTCTCTGAGACCCTTTCCAGCGACGTATGCGGTAAACAAACAGGCACGCTCCCTGCCACGGTCACACATCCGCCGCGTTCACGTCCTGGAGCGTGGAAGCCATTTGTAAGTCGTCTTCCGTGCGCGCCCTTTCATTTAAGGAAGAGCCTTACGCGGACGCACGGTTGAAGCCGTCAGTGTTGTGTTGTTGCTGGTGGAGCTTCGACATAACCGTAACAGGCACATAGGTCCAATTTATGTGTTATTGACCGAAAGTGACTATTTTGAGGAAGCCACACACTGGTCCTCTGTGGCATCCCCCCGTTTCTTCTTCATGTTAAGGGAACCCATTCTCAGGGCCTGTGCCCAATATCCAAACAGACTTCAAGTTACAGGCGTGCAAAACACTGGGTCATAGACACGCGGTTCGGGGTAGTGACTGGGGTCAAGAGGGAATGATAGTAAAAGAAAAGGAGAGGAAAGGCAAGGGCCATCTCCCTGTAACTCCTTTCTGAAGAAGTGAGTCCACCAGAGAGCATGTTCGTGGACTGTTTCGTTTGCCTTTGAGATGAACATTCGCACTGGCTTTTGAGTTCAGATGCCTCTCACCCCGCAGAGCTCTCCCTCCACCACCGGCCACATGGCACCTGAGTCTCAAACTCAGCTCCCAACACTTATGCCCCCAGCCCACCCCACCCCCACCCCGCCTTCCTTGATGACACGGAGTAATTTCTGTCGCCCGGAAACTCACATCCATGTGACTGTCGCGCTCACTCAGGCAAGCTCGCTCCCCACCAGAGATGCTCTGGTCTCCCTCTGCACGCCCGTCAGCCCCTCCCATTCTCCATGCAGCCCCCTAACTCCGGGATGCTTCCAGCCACGACCCTACTGGCCAGTTTCTCCTCTTAAAAACCCAATTACCTGCCCTCCTTAGAAGACACTCACCCCCGAGACAATGGAAGAGGCTTGTCGGGTGACAGTTTCCCTCCGTCCTAGTCATCACACTCTACAGCTAGTCACCTGGCTGGTTATTTGCTGAGAGACCACAGAGTAAGCCCCACTCCACACATACCTTCCTGGCAGCAGATCCTGACAGCTGGAAAATATCTCACCCTCCAACCTAACAAACCCCAAGACAACTTGTGCCTGAAGAAGCTGGGAGCGGGTCACTGCTTCATTCTGGAACCCTCTTTCCTATTTAAATTAAGTAATTTACAGAGGAGAGTGACCGAAATAAATTCCCAGATCCCCCAGATTTAGAGTAATGACCATAGTGGAACTGAAAAATCTTTCAATGGAACCAAGGGGCAGGTCACTGATAAGAGCCACTGTCACAAAATGACACCAGCAGGAACTGAGATCCCCTTTGTGCATCAACGGGGATCAGAAAACCCGACAAGTACTTTCTCTCCCAAATCCCTGGAATCCACCCAAACTCTTGCCATCTCCTCACTAGGACAGGCACGCTAAGCCAAAACGTACTTATGGCAAAGCAAGTAACATTTTACGACGTCAGACATGGTTCTAAATGACTGCAAAACTGGGTACCGGGTCCTGTGAATCCAGCAAGAGTCCAAGGCTTCCTTCGAAGAATGCAAACCATTAGGAACAAGTCTCGAGACATTTCCCACACCGCCTGCCTGCAAAACCTGCCCCTGGGTGTGCCCGTGGAGAAGCCTAAGCCAGGCAGGCTGCTTTTGAAAATGGTAGATGATAGAGAGAAAAACAAGGAGCCAGGGACAAGGCGGGGGTGTGTGTTTCTATGTCAAAAGCAAAGAACAAGTCCCAGAGACGGGATCGGGGCTGGGGGGTGGGGGGGTCCTAATCTCACCATCCTCCGGGTTTGGCCATCTCTCCACATGGTCTAACAGGGTGGAGGAGAGAGCTGCTTCAGAAGAGAGAACTGCCTGGGCTCGGTGTCACTGGAGAGCTACCTAACCAGCGTCCAGGTTGACCTTCTCTCGTGGGCCTAATAAATCATTGTCTTTCTGCAATAGCTTGCAAAATAAGCAGAGTTTATTTTTATTTCTGTATTTATTCACCTCATAACTTAGCAGTCTGCAGCCCAGAAACCATGCTTGCAGCACCTGACATACAAGTCAGATTTGGTTCTCACGAAAGGAAACTCGAAATGCAGATTTTATTGACCTTATGGGTGCTGTGTCAGAACTTGCAAACAAATAAACAAACAAACAAACAAACAAAACCCCATATCTGGATCCACATTCCTAATAAGGGCGTTTACAGCTCTCATTCACCGGGTGATTCATCCATCGCTGTCTGTTGGTGTTGCTGCTTCATGTACACATTAGCCATTTCTGGCTAATTTTGTCTCCTCTTTATAAAACAATATTTTGACTGCTTGGCTCCTCCCCCAAATGCACTGGATATTAAAACATGATTTGAGTGCCTTTTCAATCAAATGAGGGGGAAAAGCCACCTTACTAAAGAACGGCTCATTATGGACAGGACTGCATTTCCCATATGCTGTTTTCCCCTTGACATACTGTCTTTGAAGCAGCCTTGCTCGTGCCTGTATTATGATTTGTCCAAATGCATTGACAATCTGCTGCTTGGCTGTGAATGCCTGGGAAAAACAATGGTCCGATCCTGACAAGTAGCACATTGTGAATCTCGAGCCACTAATTGCAGAACCCCTCCCAATTAGGCATCCGGGCAAATTAAGCAGGAAATCGTTAACAACATGGAAGGTCAAGGAGAACTCAATTAAAATGAAAATCATTTTCTCCAGCAGAGTGTTTTTGTGTGTTTGTGGCCACTAAATTTGCTTTTGCTTCCCCCGTTCACAAATATTGGATAACAATATGTTCCCTCTTTGCAGTCCATGGTCCTTCTGCTCCACAGCCAGCGGCAGTACATCTTCGAATATGACATGTGGGACCGGCTGTCTGCCATCACCATGCCCAGCGTGGCTCGCCACACCATGCAGACCATCCGCTCCATCGGCTACTACCGCAACATATACAACCCCCCGGAAAGCAACGCCTCCATCATCACGGACTACAACGAGGAAGGGCTGCTTCTGCAGACGGCGTTCCTGGGGACCAGTCGGAGGGTCTTATTCAAGTACAGAAGGCAGACCAGGCTCTCAGAGATTTTATACGACAGCACGAGAGTCAGTTTTACCTACGATGAAACGGCAGGCGTCCTCAAAACCGTAAACCTCCAGAGTGATGGTTTTATTTGCACCATCAGATACAGGCAGATTGGCCCCCTGATTGACAGACAGATCTTCCGCTTTAGTGAAGACGGGATGGTAAACGCAAGATTTGACTACAGCTATGACAACAGCTTCCGGGTGACCAGCATGCAGGGTGTCATCAATGAGACGCCCCTGCCCATTGACCTCTATCAGTTTGATGACATTTCTGGAAAAGTGGAGCAGTTTGGAAAGTTTGGAGTTATATACTACGATATTAACCAGATCATTTCCACGGCCGTGATGACGTACACGAAGCACTTCGACGCCCACGGCCGCATCAAGGAAATCCAGTATGAGATATTCCGGTCGCTCATGTACTGGATTACAATTCAGTACGATAACATGGGCCGGGTAACCAAGAGGGAGATCAAAATAGGGCCCTTCGCCAACACCACCAAATACGCTTATGAGTACGACGTGGACGGACAGCTCCAGACGGTGTACCTCAATGAAAAAATCATGTGGCGTTACAACTACGATCTGAACGGGAACCTGCACCTGCTGAACCCAAGTAACAGCGCCCGTCTGACACCCCTGCGCTACGACCTGCGGGACAGGATCACCCGACTGGGTGATGTTCAGTATCGGCTGGATGAAGACGGCTTCCTGCGCCAGAGAGGCACGGAGATCTTCGAGTACAGCTCCAAGGGGCTTCTCACCCGAGTTTACAGTAAAGGCAGCGGCTGGACGGTGCTCTATCGCTACGATGGCCTGGGCAGGCGGGTCTCCAGCAAGACCAGCCTGGGGCAGCACCTGCAGTTTTTTTATGCCGACCTGACTTACCCCACCAGGATTACGCATGTCTACAACCATTCGAGTTCGGAGATCACCTCCCTCTATTACGATCTCCAAGGACATCTGTTCGCCATGGAGATCAGTAGCGGGGATGAGTTCTACATCGCCTCAGATAACACGGGGACACCGCTGGCTGTTTTCAGCAGCAACGGGCTTATGCTAAAACAGATTCAGTACACTGCATACGGCGAAATCTATTTTGACTCCAATATTGACTTTCAACTGGTAATTGGATTTCACGGTGGCTTGTATGACCCACTCACAAAATTAATTCACTTTGGAGAAAGAGATTATGATATTTTGGCAGGACGATGGACAACGCCTGACATCGAGATCTGGAAAAGAATTGGGAAGGACCCAGCTCCTTTCAACCTGTATATGTTTAGGAATAACAACCCTGCGAGCAAAATCCATGATGTCAAAGACTACATCACAGGTAAGCGTGGTTGTCCTTCCTTTCCAGGTACTGAATTATGTTAATCATTAGATTAATACACAAAAGTGCTGATGGGTTTAACTGTACACTGTCCTCATGTAAAATCAAATGTCTAACCTCTTCAGTGGAACCAAGAAGAAACCACAAAGGGAAACTGAGACATAGTTTATTACTTCCTCTCTGCCTGCCAGTGCCCAAGGCCACAGTATTCTGAAATGACGTGGAATTTGGGCACTTAAGGAAGGGAGATAACAGGGGGGTGCAGAAAACATGATGAACTTAGACTCCCCAAACTGGAGTTCCAGTCCAACTCCTCTCCGACAGGGCGTGTGGTTTTATAGACAAATCACATGATTTTTGAGTTCTGTTTCCTTAACAATCAAGTGGTGATAACAATGCCTACCTTATGGTGTAAAATACAGTAACACATGCAGTTGTGCGTTAAATAGTAACCACCTTACAAATGTACAATGTTGGGTTTTTTATACATGTGTTAAGTTCTAATGGAGGAATCGGTGAGGAACACGACACCGCGTGACTCGGCATCTCATCCCACGAGGTGTGTAACTCCCTCTTCACCACCATCACCTTGGGCAGTGATGGCGCAGGTTCTCCCGTCAGGGGCTTAGCCAGTGGGCCCTGTTTTTGTTCTCAGTTCTGTTCTCTTGTACTGCTGTCTTCATCGCCAGCTGGGGCGGTTTCTTGTATGGTGGCCCTGCTCGTACGCACACTAATTTTTCTGCCAATGTGGGGAAGACAGTCAGGGTATGTAGATTTAAGATCGTTCCAAGTTTAGTTCATGATCCAGTTTAAAGCACTGAGTCCCACTTCTGCCACCACAGACCACCAGGATGGGAAACAGAGACGAGGTTCTTACAAGCACAACTTCAGTTCCCTTTAATGAGCATCTTGTTTTTCACTGGGTAACACTGGTTTATAACACTATATGTTTCTTGTGTACAACAGCATATGCTGCTTCACCACTATATTTTCTCTCCATCTCCATACAGTTGATTACGTTTACTGATTTTGCCCTTCCCTAACCTTTCCCCTCTGGTAACTGCTACTTTGTTCTCTAAATCTACATGTTCGGTTTGGTTTTGTTTGATTTGGTCTGGTCATTTATTTTGTTTATTTTATATCATATGAGTGAAATCATACAGTGTTTGTCTTTCTCCATCTGACTTATTTCATGTAGCAAAATACCTTCAAGGTCCATCCGTGTTGTCACAAATGGCAAGATTACACCTTTTTATGATTAATATTCCATTGTATATACATACGTGTGTGTGTGTGTGTGTACACGAATCTTCTTTATCCAGTCATCAACTGATGGACACTTAGGCTGTTTCTGTATCTTGGCTATTGTAAATAATGCTACAGTGAACGCAGGGGTGCATGTATCTTTTCAAATTAGTGTTTTTATATTTTTTGATGACTACCCAGAAGAGGGATTGCTGGACCATATGGTAGTTCTATTCTTGGTCCTGTGAGAAACTTCCACCCTGTTTTCCGTAGTAGCTGCACGAGTTTATCTCCCCGCCACACAGTGCACAAGGGTTCCCTTTCTGGAGTTGAGTTCTTCACTCTTCCTCTAACCCAGGGGTTCTGAACCCTCTGCTTCCACCTTCCATTCCTGAGTTTCACAGCCATAACTGCCCTCTACTACATTTGTGTTTCCTGGAGGAAGGTTATTCCCTGGTTTTTTTGTGTGTGTTTGGTTTGGGGTTTTTCTGCTTTGTGGTGGCTTGGCTCGTGTTAGATGCCCCTTCAGGCTGTCTCTTTTCTTGCTCAATATTTGAGGCATACCGAGATGTCTGTTTTCTCAGTTCTCTGCACAGCTCTCAAAACGCTGCCCCCTGTTCCCTTCACATCTGCCTCCACTTTCGCTGACTGCCTCCAGCTTTTCATAGCTTCCTCCCATGTGGACCAGCTCAAAGTCCCTTGCCTCAGCATCCTGACTCAGCAACACCCTTGTAGTGTCCCCCTTCAGGGCGTTTCAGGACACGTCTGCATTGATGTCCCAGTATTTGGACAGTAATTTTCAATACTTAAGTCCTGATTATCACCGCTTCACAGAGATTGTTCATAGCAAGAGTACTTTTGCCCCCAGTACTCCACCATGTAAGAAGAAAGAATTTTCTCCAAAACAGAGGCCCCCTGTAATCTTACACACACACACACACACACACACACACACACACACACATTTATCTACTTCTACTCCTACAGTAGGTAGTCGGTACGTTCGACGTCTTCCTTCCTTCCCTACCCAACCCACCCAACCCCAACCCAACCCGAACC